GAACAGATGTTGTTTATGTATAAATATATAAATATAAATAAATATATAAATATTTATGTAGTAAATATCGTTATTGGTATCCTGGAAGCAGAAAATTTAGGAAAAATATTTTTGTTATATTCTGATGTCTTGGGAAAAACAAATCATTCAACCATTGCAAAAGCGTTCGATAAAGCCATGTTTACATTATAGCCTTAAAGAATAAAACACTATAATGTCCTCATTTTTGTATCTGATGCTGCCCCATATATGGTAAAAGCAGGAAGAGCCATTAGCACTTTTTATTCTTAAATGGTGCATGTTACTTGTGTGGCGCATGCAATTCATAGATTTGCGGAAGAAATTAGATCAAATGTTCAAGATGTCAATAAACTTATAAGTTGCGTAAAAAAAATATTTTATATACACAAATTGGTACACTAATGTTTAAAATTCTTGCTTCAGGAATTCCATTGTCACCCGAACCCACAATCACGCGATGGGGAACCTGGCTAAATGCTGTAAATTACTATTGTGAGAATTTTTCTTATGTAAAAAAAGTTTTGCTTGAATTAAATCTATACAATTTAATATATTAAGTTAATAATAGTAAATATATTTTCTTAGATGATAAATTATCATAATAATAATGTTATTTTTATATACAAATTATCTATTTAACCAAACATATTATACTAAAGAAATCAAAACGTAATTCTTATATAAACGTGTTGTAATTCACAACTGCAATATTATGCGTAGGTGTATACATATATATAATATTATGGGCACTAATTTACAATTGAAGAATATGTTATTCATTGGGTTGCAGTTTGCACACGATTTTCTGGCTGTACATTAAATTATTAAAATATAATAAATATTGTTATTTTGAGTGCAATTTACATTACATGATTATTGATTTTTGTTCGTTGGCTGCTATTGCAGTGCATGTACCTATGTAAATTACAATTATATCGTTATGTTATTATTGTAAATTATAATTAGTTTTACAAAATGAACAACAGCAACTGCATATACTCATGGCATAATTTTTAATTTTTAATATGATTGTATTTTACTAAAATTTAACGAACTCGCAGACTTAAATTACAAGGAGCTAGTATAGTGGAAGTGGCTATAGCACTGTGTAACTATATATATGCATAGGAACATTAAATACAAGTTGTATACATTACCAAGATCAATAATATATTTATATATAAGTGAAGAAAATGGAGGCATCCAAGTTAGGTCCTTAATTCATACTACGATTAAATGTCTCGTCACTCAAATGATCGGTAAGGAAGGAGGAAGGGTACAACATTTAGGGTAGGGCGCCCGGAGACTCTTAAATTAATGTGTTGAAGGAATGATGGACAATCAGTTTTACCAAAGAGGTGATATTATATCAAACGAAGGATATAATATCATAACACATAAGCAAGTAGCAATAGTTGTTGTTCCTCTAATTACTATAGGATATTCATATTATAGGGAGCGCTGTAGGTCTATTATAGTCGTTGGGAATGTGAGGGATGTTTAGCTTGAATATCAAATCTCAATAGAACTTAAAAAATATAGATTGAATACAATTTCAAATGGAAAAAAAATGTTTACTTTATGATGTTAGAATAACAAAACTCTTATACAGGTAATTTACTAAGATTAAACTATGACATCGCTATGAGAAATCAAACTCTAAAACTACAAGTACAGATACAAGATCATCATGATTCATGGAGTCACGGTTTTGCAAAGTCTGCAGTGTGAGTGAGTTGAAACCTATACTGTTTAAAGCACCCTAAATGTATTTGCAAGAAGTAACAGTAGGTATTATCCCTCTTTCCATCTACTGAACGGAATAAGCCATTGTTGTTTTTAAACTAAAATTGAATTTAAAGAGGGCATCATAATAACATTTAAAACAAGTCACTAAAATGTTATTGACTGCAGGTATTAAGTAGGATTTTTAGAAGTTCTCAGCGTTAAGTTAGTTAGTACGGATATAAATAGTAATGATATGAGTGATTTTCGAAATTTCCTAAAAAAAATTCTTCTAAGAGTTACCGAACATTTTTTTTGTAAAAAACAAAACTATTAACACTAGAGTTCAATTATGTTATTCATGTGTTAATTAATCAAATACCTAATTTCGGAAACTTGATTATTATCAACCGTTAAATTTTGATTTGTACTGAAACTTGCTTTCAAAATTTCAGATGCTAACATAATGATACAAAAACAATACTTACTGAACTCAGCACAACAACAAAAACAACATCGATCGTGTCAAAAACTGTTATTGTGTAAATATTCTCATCTATTTAGAAAATTACCAGGCATTTTTTAGTTGTAATAAAAAAACAAGATATAATATAGTTAGGTACCTAATAACAATGTTCGTATGTTTAGTGTTTAATATAACTATGGTGTAGGTGAAATTATTATATGGTTATATATATATATTTATATATTATATATTATACACCTATTATAACTAAATAATTTATCTAGTAATATTAATATAATACAATAAACATATACATAAAATAATATTAGACATTCATAAAATAATGAAGTTGATAACTATAAAGATTAATGAAACACATATCATGTTTTAATGAACTTATTATTGATATACAGGTATACTTATACCGCAGAACGCGTTTAATTCGTACCTAACGCTATAACATGCATGGTACGAGATCCGTGCTCTAACGTTGTAGACGACTGGTAATAATTATTTCAAATTACAAATCACATCAAATAGGTATAATAACAAAGCTTTAAAAACTTAAAAGATTTTCAAGGGAGGAATTTGAAGTGTATCGATACTTATCTGGTCAATTTTGAGCGTTCAATAAGTACAATATACAAGCGATACGTACCACCCCGCGTATCGGACTCAGACTTCGATAAGAGTCGGTATGTAACAAATACTAACAACTATTCTCTGTCGGTACGCCGTATCGAGTTTTTCTTATCCTAAATCTTGTTTTATAAAATATGCAAATATATATAAGCTATTCTAACTATCACTGAGTATAGGTACGGTATAGATGCATTATTATAATACTCCAGCTTTATTGAAACTATCTATTTTAATGTTAAAAGTTGAAATCAACATTTTATTACATTAAATCATTAAAAAAAAAAAAATGTAATGAGAAGAGATTTCAGACCTTCAGATTTAACAATGTTGGATGTGATATTTAGGTACAGATTTTTCCACGAGGGTTCAGGGTTGAAGGTAGAATTTAATTTTAATTTGTTTACTATTATATATTTCTTATAAGACATTCATAAGACTTTCATGTTTATTAATATACCCAATAACCGGTCAGATGTGGTGTGAGGTGTGGTGTGCTGCAGTTCGTTATTAGGACGTAAATTGCAAAATGTCCTGTCATGTTGTCAAAATATAATTTATGTAGGTCCTATACAATATAAGAGGATATAGGTTGTAGTGGTTGTACTGTGTAATAAGATATTTATGACATGTGTTTCGTATACTTTGTAGTAGGCACCTATAGGTACTAATAACCGCCAAAAAGCCATTGAAAACACTCAACAACACATATTGCCGATTATCCGTTCGGATGACAACATACACATAATATATGAATGTTAAAGTACATATTATGTAGAATTCAAAAAACTAGTCTCGTAAATATACACTTGAACAAAAATTTAGCAAAAGAAGAGTGGAGCAGGGATGTGTATTATATTTGGTCGAGAATTATTCAGTACGTTGTTTTGGTATGGACCAATTAAAATTTTCACCGGGCATCACATGCGTTATAAAGCGCGTAAAAACTCAACATGACGTGAATAATACTTATATATAAACACACGTTCAAGAGGTACACGTTTGTAGGACGAAAAGGGATTATAAATGGACGTGTCGCGCGAGTTCGCGTTAAGCCGAATTATTATGTCGGTACATAAAACACCACTCTCGCGGTCTAGTGGCGGCATCGACCAGTGGCGTTCGAGTATAGCGTCCCCTGACGCAATAATATTTACAGGCATTATTATACTATCATAGAAACCACGAGAACAAAATACAAGCATCACATTTACAATATTTAGTATATTATTAGGTACCTACTTATGTACACATATATATGATCCAAACAATTCGAGGAGAGGCGTTTTTATTGTTGGTCACAAACGATGCCTTCTCTGGATATTACAATATTATATTTAATATATAATATTTATATGTATAATATACTCGTATATAGAGAGAAAGAGATAGTGAGAGGGGAAGGGAGAGGGAGAGAGAACACCACTGCAATGCAATAATAATAATATAATAGCTGGTAATATACGTCTTGTGTAGTTGTGTTATACACCATAATATTATGCCCCCGCCTGCAGCGAAGTCGGCTGCAGCAACACGACCGGGTACAACACGATTTGAGTGTGATCGACTGTATATGTGCGACCAGAGCTATTTTGTTGCGTCGAATATTTCATTATTATTATTATGTACACACACATACACACACCGTTAGTCGCTCAGTCGCGTCGTATATAGTGCCATGTCGTGTGTGTGTGTGTGTGTGTGTGTATGTGTGTGTGGGACCAAACAATAACATCTCATTTAAACATTACACGCTAGTAAATAAATAAGAGGGACGCCACGTCGTCGTCATCGTCTCTCTACTCTCTCACTCTGTCTCACTCTCTTGCCGTTACCACACCACTACCACCACCCCGACCGCGGTGGGCCCTCGGGGGCATTTAGGGTTTTGAAAAGAACATTTATCGAATTATACCCGGAGACCCGTTGACGGCGGGGCGATAGTTAGGTGTGACGCACGGGTTGGGGTGGAGCGCGCACAAGTGGCCCGTTTATTCGAAAGCCGCGGCGGTTCGGGGTAACGACTCCGGGCGGGGAGGGGCGCCTGGTGCCTCGTCATTGGTCCGCGGTGGCCGCGCCTCCCACCCCGCCGGCGTAACGCGCTGTGGGTCTCGCGCGACCGGCACACCGCCGCTGAACAGTCGTGGGACTCCGGTTCTTGTCGTCTCGTCGTCTACACGGTTACTGCATCAGCTCCGCCCGCGAGCTCAATCTGCGCCGCACACACGCACTTAGTGACGCGGTACAACATAATATCAACAATAATAATAATATTATGCACATCTCTTCTACACGTTAAAATAATATCGTCGTTATCTCCGCGAGTGGGTTTCGTGATAACTACATCGATCGATATTGGTTTTATTTTCAACTTGTCTTTTCGTCGCGTTCTGTCCGTCAATTTTCGCTGCCCAGCCAAACGCGAGCAACGTCCCAAGAACAAAACGTAATAACAACATCTCAATATATATAGTCACAACAATATCATATTATATAAATTCACACCTGTCGAGCCGCTTCGCCGTTTCAAACACACGCCGTTGGGTGTCGGGCTTATCGTTATCGTCATCGTCGTCGACATGGAGACGGATAGCAACAGCGACGGCGAAATGATGCCGGCCGCCGCGCAGATGCCACCCTACAGCCGGGCTAACATCGAGCTACTAATTAGGAGACACCAGGCCGCTGTCACAGCGCTCGGGTTGGCATTCAACGGCCCACCTCACCATCACAGGCCGATGATGGCAAACGCGGCCACTTCAGTGCCAGCGCCCAAGCACCATACAATCGACGCCATTCTCGGACTCAAACGCAACGACCATAAAGACCAGGAGTCCGGAGGCAAGTATACATACCATATTATGTTCTATGAAGTTATTACATTGATAAAACGTGAACGCCATAACAATAATATAATAATATAATACAGTTAACCTACCTCCACATGACAATATATACTTACATTAAAATTATATAGGTATTTGTAATCTTATTTCTATTGAAATCATAATTTCTTGAATACCTATGCTTACGTTTTTTAAGCACCATAATATTATTATATATTAAATATTGATTAAAATGAATGGACATGAAGATCTTATATATATATCGATATTTCTATTATAGTCCTATAGATATTTATCGTTTAACATTTAGAATTTAATAAATTAGTAATTTAGTAATTTGTATTATTATAGACAGACTAGACAAATAAATTCAGTACCTAGCTGTATAAAGTACAAATAGTACAATATAATATATTTTATTTTATTACGATGTATACATATATCAGTAATATAATGTTCTGGGTGTACTTGTGATTCTCATTACAATATTTAATGCTAGTAAATAATTGATAATGGTCTTTCAAAATTTCAAAAACTGTGCGCTCTAAAATTTCTATGCGTGTGGGGATCGCATAAACTGCGTTTTGGAACCATTGAAATCCGAATACGATGTTCGTTAAAAAATAGAATCTAAAATTCCAAACACCCTACTTATGTCTGCAATCGTCTTATGAGTGATGTTATAATATTTAAAAAAAAATCAACCGTATATAAACAATTGTAATAATATAAATGTATAATGTTAATGTAATTACGTACAGCAAATATCCCATACTAGCGTTTCCCATGACCAATTAAACGACTGTATATTTACCTTTTCTTAAACTACTTTTAATGTAAGTTATATAGATTTCAACACAGTGATTTGATCGAGTTGAACAATAAGTATAAGTAAAAGTAAAATAAAAAAAGAAGAATAAAAGTAAAGTACAGGTCTAAAATAGTATATATACAATTATAATAACTATTTTATTTTCTGCAACAAATGGCAACCCTACACCTATAATCAAAAAAATATTTAATTTTCGTGATCTGACAGATTTCTGTATAAGCTCCTGTTTAAAGTGCAAAAATTACAAATTTGGCTTCGAAGTACACATCCTTAGTTATTTATTATCTATATGTACCAAATTTCAGAATCATGAGTCACACACAAACTTAACCTTTTATTAGTTCAGCATAATATACATCTATTCTACAACATAATGTTTTATATAGTTGTATATTATCATAAAATTGGTCTTGAGATGATGATTCCTCCGTATGTATTATAACTGTTTACATTATGTTTATTTACCTATCAACTACATACAATATAAATTTATTGTTTTTGTGTCATACAATACATAAATAGTATATAGGTTTATATATGCAACTCTAATATAATATACACATATTATTTATTGGTCTTATAGGTATATCCATATCAGCCTTCTCATATTTATTTATTTTTTTATATATAAGGGCCTTTAGATAACATATTATTATAGTATACAGTATTCAGTATATAGTCACATAATAAATAATTATTCATTATACATAGACTCAATAAGTGAAAGAATAAGAAAATAGTTATTAGAGGTAAATATTTAAAATTTTAAAACGAGATCGAAGGATCCAGATTGACTTTAATAGACGCATTTGACTATATTAACTCGTGTATAAAGGTTCATTGGACATATTATATAGTTGGTTGAGCATATCAGATTGAAGAAATATCGGGAGGAACTTAAAAGTTAATTATAGATAAAAGCTTTAGGGAGTCAATAGATCCATTAAGAAATCCAGCGAGAGATTTTAATTTTGCATTATGCTTTCGATCCAGAAGGGAATATATTCTTAACAATATGTTTGTGTGTGTATAATATTGTGCTATATGCTATATAGGTACCTACACCTATGTTCGAGCTGGTGGCGCGGATATTAGCTACAAGTACATTATTCATATATATCATATGTTTATAAAATTATATATATCTGTAGCAGCCGCGTCGTATATACTCCTTCCTAACCTAACCGTCTTAGGTCGCGCGGGAAAAATCAGTCGCTGATGACGACGACCGCGACGTAGTGGTAATTGTTTCGGTAAACCGCCGGTGGGGGAAATACGTTTTCAAGCCCATTTGTTTTTAATCACTTTTCTCGTTCCACGGGCTCTCCGCTATTCCCCGGCCGCCGCGCTCGTTTTTGTTTCAATACTTTAAAAAGTTCAAATGCCGTATAAAATACGTGAAATGCTGTCCCAATTACCGCCGTTATTTCCCCTTTTTGTACGCGCTTTATAATATTATCGTACCTACGCAGTTGTTTCACTATATATAAACCCGTCTGTATAAACATGTGCAATATTTATGTATATATATTATAGTCGAACGCATTGCCGTCCCGCCGCGCGCTGTCGCTCGAGCTGCTTAATTGAGACCGAATAACGCGCTCGCGGATATAATAAATATTATATATATATATATATATGCACCTACCTATGTACGATAACTTTATGTATAATATACACGTTTATGATGTGTATATAAACTCTACAAAAATAAATTACTTTTGTCTCTCTCTCTCACCCTCTCTCCCTCCATCTTTCTTGCAAACCGTCTACGAAAGTTTCAAAGCCGATTTCGATATACGCGCGTGCCACGGACCCATAATAAGGCAATTTCAATTTCGGAATGGTAAATCGTATAAATAATTCAGACGTGTTTTTTTCCCTCCGTTTATATGATGTATATATATAATAATATAATAAATTTACTAATTTGCCTAGAATATAAAGATAAGTGGAAAACTGCATATTATTACTATATTTAGGTAGACAAACGTGTGCATCTATATAATAATTTTTTCATCCCCACCTGCAAATGCACAACGACGATATCTGTTGTCCCGGTGGAATTAATTAATCAATTATGTAGTGGACGTACATACACACACACTCACACATTGGGTGATGTGCCGATGTGCGTCATTTTTTCGTGATGTCATATACGATGTCTATATATTATACGTACCTATACATACATATAAATGTATATATACCTACCTACCCTATGTGTAGATATTATAGGTTTATGTACAAAAAAAGTTAAAAAATATAACAAATATAGGGAAAACGAAAGTGTGTGCATGCGTGCGTGTGTGTGTGTGTGTGTGTGTCTCTGCACGCGTTTGTATTATTAAAGGGGAGAAAAAAATACGAATATATAATACCTATACCACGCATTATATATGTATATATGTCTGTGTGTAGCGAAAAGCCTAATTCGTGCGCTATCAACGCTGTTATCGGCTCGCGTGTCGTTTACTCATAATAATATTATAATTACAAACAATTAAATTGATTAAAACATAATATTTTAATCAGACGTCTTATCGCCGCCGTTCCAATTATTAATTAAAATATCAAATGAATGCGCAATTTTTTTCCAGTACCTGCAGCTTACTTCTGCTGTTGCTGTTGCAAATGATATGGCACGTATAACGATGTATATAATATTACATAATAGTAAAATACATATTATACTAACTGTTCTGACTGTGCAGCGTCTGCCCCATGTGATTATCGCATCAAGTGTCATATTTAATATATTCTGTTTTGCGTAATAGTACCTATTTTAATATACCTATTTAGGTACCACATTTCATACCGGTACACGTGGGTATATTTATATTATATAGTTTATGCTTTACACTTGTAGCTACCTCTCATAATATATTATAAACCAAATAATAATCACAATAATGATGACGTCTCATCGTGGTATCGTTTATACTTTATACAATAAACCTAGTAACAACTTATGACGAGAATACGAGATAAATAAAACCTAATTAAATGCATTAAAATGCAGAAACATATAAATAAGCAGATTTAGAAGTCAAAATATGAAATAATATATAACAAGTGTGCTTTTTAAACAGATTGGTGTCACTGATCACAGATTTTAGGTATATATGCTATTAATTATTATATTTATTATATACCTCTATATAATAGCTTTTAAATATGATATAGGCAAAAAGATGATACTATATTGAATAAATAAAAACTTTTAATCAATCATGGAATGAATATAATGTAATTCGATATGTATGAGTATTGAGTATACCTCCTAAAAATCATTTTGTTGATTTGGTATAATTATAAAATGAAACTCTTTCGGAGTGGTGTATATAAAGTACAACATCTAGTACAAATGCAGCATTTGATGTTTAAAATTGAAAAACGACACAGTTTATTATTTATACATATTACATAACAGAACAAGACCAATTATTGATTTAGATATACCTACATAATTATAGTTAACAACGCATGAATATATAACACAGATCCACAATGTATTGATCTGCTCCTACAATATTCTAGATTATTTTTTTTTAATTACAAACTTTGTAGATAAGATAATGTTTTATAAGAAATATTTGTAGACATAATAGTCTCATTGTTGATGTTATAAATTAAGACTCGTGAAATTGTTTTCCAAATTAAACTTAATATGTCTTTCTCAAAAAAAAATGTATTTACATATATAGGTATCTATTGAGTTTCACTATCTTGAATACATACCGTAGGTATATTATTGTCTGCACAGTTCCGATGACTATTCGTTAAAAAAAAAAAAACAATTATAATCAATAACCTTATAAATTATAATTATCGGCGTCACACGATGCACCGCGTGAATTTATAATAACTTGAAAAGTTTGAAATTATTTCAGCTGCTAACAGTTGCCTTGGATTCATCGATCACTCGCATGAAGTAGTGAGTCGTGGGGTACGTGTCAATGTTCCCACTTCCCATGTATAAGTGTAGAACCTTATTATATGTATATTATGTACTATGTTTATAACGCGTCTTTTGTTCGCGTATACCTGTAATAATTAGCTGGTGTTTCACACATCAAATAATGCCATAGTCCATAATATCATTATAAGTTGCAAATCCTGCAAAGTGGCTATATAGAATATTATACTATAGTATGAGCATA